AAAAGTGCACAAATTGTTCCTGAAATTTGAATAATTAGTGAATATTCAACAGGTTAGAAAGAGAAATATGTCTGTCCTTGTCGTTCAATAGTGCGCTCCTTGTCTGTTGCATCACGTTTATCTGTCCTTGTCGCCTGGTCTAGCGCTCCTTGTCCAACAGGAGTTGAGATACCTCCTTGCGTATTCTATATTCCTGTTTAGTTTTCGTGTATTCAGTCGCAATCCGATAGATGATATAATAGTTGGCTCGTTAAAAAAGAACCGTGTGACTGTACAACGATAGATATATTTTTCCGTTTAATTTATTAAACATTCTTTAATTACTCGATTGTAGGAGCTTTATACATTTATCGCAGAACAAAGACTAAATCATAAATATTCATGATTTCTGTTCAGAGTTCTGGTATAAATAATGAATCATTAACAATTGTTACACGTGGTTCTTATCACTATCGCATGAATTTTCATATCATTTAAATGACATGTAATTAATTTGTCAACTTCTACGTATGAATAACAGAGCGGAATTTCTAACAAAGCTTCTACGTTTAAATAGGATGTAAATTAATTCTTTGAAAGTATGATATTAATATAAAATTGCTGATATATATATTGCAAAATCCCCGATGCTTGTTGAAACAGTTATTAATGATTAAATTGAAACTCATTTCCAAAACCACGCAGGAATGTTGCTTAAAGTCTACATTTCAATATCTAATTCCAAATGTGTATAAACTTATCTTGGAAAACGAGTGATTGGCGATTGTTCATTCATAAACATGCAGTAAAATTATTTCCATAGTATCGTCGCTACGCGATGCTAGTATTTCGAAATCCATAAATCGTTCGAATTTTTATTTCGAAAGGAAACTAATTAACAGAATTAATTTATGAACTGTCGCTTCAAGTGTTAAATCGTTCTAATCGGATAATTTTAATTTTCTCTTTTAATACGACTTAAAAATCAAAATATCTAACGACTAACTCGACTGACAGATTCATTTGTCCAATTGTCATTTAATTATTACCCGATTTCCTGCTATAAATTTACACGCTTTTAGGGTTCTTTAACAAGGGTTTGAATTCAAAGAACATTTACAATCAGTTTTTATCATCAGTTTTTATTCAAATAATTAACAAAATATATTGTTACATATATTGTTACATAGTAGATATCTCGCGTAAACACATGTAGGAATTTTTCACATTATATCTAATTTAATTCTCATTAATTCTAATGTTTCACACAACTTACATTATATCGAGTTAATTCGTAAAAGTTTTTACATCTCGTTTTCGCAACGAGAAATGCCCGCGAGCTAAAAAGCGTAGAAAAATGATCTTCAATTGATTGGAAGAAAACACATTCTTTAATTAACATTCATAAATTAATTGATTGAAATGGGCTTCGTTGAGACTTCAGCAAGATATGGAAATCTTTCTCTCTAGATATTCTCGCGAGAAGAAACATCTGATCGGAAGTCTCGTAGAAGCATAAAGAAGCTGAAAGCACAGAAAGAAGGTGCAAAAGATTTGAAAGTACAAAAGAAGGTGCAGGTGAAGTTTCAGAGATTAACGCGAAGAAAAAAGCCGTGTTTCCAAGTTGTAACAACAGAGGATTTACTATAATTGCAGGTAATAAAGTCAATGGAACCCAGGGCGGCTGTTGTGCGAAAATGTTGGTGTATGCAAAAATTGCTTCCGGGAACTCGGAGGTTTCGCCTGTTTCCGAACATGGAACCAACCGATCTCTCGCAAATTGTACTTAATACCAATTCCTAATAGGAGAACGAGGATTGCGTTCGATTATCATCGAAAGTCAGACTTTGCTCGTTTCATTGAATAGAAAAAAACTAGTGCTTATTGTTAACGAGGAAGTTCCCAGTGAAAATTTGGAAATTGGAAAATTAATATTTTTTCAACGCCGATTAGGATAGCAGAGTGTAAAAAAAAAAAAAAAAGAAAAAAAAATAAAGGTCTACGATACTTAATCTTTTTCAAATTAATTATTACTTGAAATTCATTACACTTGTAGGTAATTTTTTTGTAGGTACGTATATTGAAGGATAAAATAAATTTTATAAATCTTTCTCGGCCGAAATTCTCAAAAAAACTGAAAATTAATTCCACGTTAGAAGTTAGAACTCTATTCACGCTATATTCCTATAATAGGAGAAATCAAGTGAAATACGATGTCGAGGCAAGTTCTGGTAATAGAATAGTCCCACGATTTTCACTCTAATATACGCTTATTGTGTAGATCTGTGTTACATTTCATTAGACACGCTTGTATTCAAGGGTTCAGAGCTAGGTTCTTTGGCGAGACGCACCTTGAAATCGATGCCAAGCTAGCATACTTCAGAATCCTCTTTTATTAAGGTAATTAAGGTTCTTTGGAAAGTGAAATTCCGTCGATTCACCGAAGCATCGCATCAGCCTGACGATATCGAGAGTACTTCACTAATGGTTTGTTTGTCGACGATCGAATACGAAACGAAAGGACAACCAATTTATAATAATAATTTGCATAGAAGATTTCTATTTGTAGTCCCAATGAAATTTGAATAGATTTAAGAGCAAACTTACTTTTATGTACGTGAATAAAATTTCGTAGTTTCAGGTTGCTTTTAAATTCTATTACTAGGCTGCGGATTTTTATGAAAAAAAATTGTGGAAAATTTAATTTTAATTAAAATGATAAAATTAATTTTACTAATTGAATTTAAGATAACGTAATGATTGTATGCAGAGGATTGCATGCAAAAATATATAAATTATCAAAAGAACAATGCTTCTCATAAGCAATATTTCGTTTATTAAGGAATCAATTTCTTCAATTATTTTTCAGTATAAAAGATATTCATAAAAATTGCATAAAGATCCGCAGTCCAATTGTAATAGGATTAGATTATCGGGGGAACACAGAGGAAAATATTGAAATGGAGTTTCAAAGACCTAGTTGAAGAATGTAGCAGTCGATGATGATTTCCATTGAATTATTAATGTTTCTGCTACATAGTTCGATGAAAAATACCTCCTGGGGGATTTTCCACCGTGGAAAATACTATGTTTGCCGTAATAATCGAGCTAGCTGCAAGTTTTGTACCACTGGGAATAGAATTAATCGTTTGTACGAGGGCGACACGCTTCTATCACAAACCCCTGCGGATGGATTGACCTGAAAGAAAGAAATTATAATAAAAAGAAAAAAAAACAAAAAAAGAAAAAAAAGATACATAAGATTACGAGTATTTCTTACTGTTGCATATTTTTCAACTGAACGATTTTAAATCAAATTTTCTGGGGTATCGATATATCATTCATATAGCAAATCAATATTCGTATTTCTATTTTTCTACTAACGCGGAGAAAGGAAAAATTAAAATTAAAAACGTAGTAATTTTATGTTAAATAAAGTCCAAAATTGAGAAACATCTTGAAAGAGGGAGACAATTCGATCGAGATTCCATCGCTTCTTCGAGCTATTACGAATGAAGCGATCGTGTCTCGCGATAATTTTCATAATTTCGCACAATTTAAGTTGAAGTCGAATATTTAATTGGTCGCGTTAATTGGACGAAACGGTCTCGATGGAGTTTATTAATAGTAATAAAGCCACGCAATGCTGCAATTATCTACAAACAAACGATTAAAATAAAAATTTTACGCGAAAGCGCGGATCTCCATGGAGACCTCTGTAAAAACATTTATCTGCCCCCCTCCGCCAGGGAATTCTCTTCCTAAGAACAATTTTAATCGCGACTCTTCTACGTCGCAAGAAACATGCTCGATAAATATCGACAGAGAATTGTCCCCGTGGGGATGGTGAATAAAAAATAAGCTGACTTCTTTCATCGTGTCGTTTCTTGCGAATAATCGTTCTCCGTGTGTTCGTGACATTTCCTAGCATTTTGCTGGCAATATAATCATGCCATCGCTATGCCATTGTTGGTCAACGAATGGATATAATCGGCGATATTCAAGTTCTTTTTATATCTTTTTTTTTTTTTTT